TATGATTATGGATTTAGATGTATGTAATATTGAATAAATGCATAAAAAACATGGATAATTTATTGGCTGCTGCAGAGAAGATGAAATGTTAAAATGTACCACTATTTTTCATACTAGCACTTTTGGGTGTCTTCCCTTACCCCCAGTATAATTGCAATCAGTTTTGAAAGGTTTTTTCCCCTTGCTGTGGAAAACTGGAATGCATTCAGTTGACAGGAAACTGTATGACAATATGAATTTGAACTTAGGCTTTAAAACAGTTAAATTGGAGAACTTGGATTAATTTCTGATGGAGCAAGTGGAACTATGAAATAGAGTAGATGGTGATGGTGTTAATATCTGAGAGAGTGGAGAGAGCATCTCAATGTGTTTTTCTAAGTGCTCCAGGGAGGGTTTGCCTTACTGTTCTTGTGTGGCTATAAAACATTGTGTACAGCTGCAATACACACAGAATTCTCTTCCTTGCAAAACTGTTTCAAATTGAGCCTGATCTGATTTTTTAGAAATGTTAACTAAAATTTCAGACTCTGCTGCCGGAGACTTGATGTTGAAGGCCCTGAATCAAATTCGGGGTAAAAAATCCCTTTGCACTTACTGATCCATCATTAAGAACTGCCTCTGAGATGATAGATTGGGAATAAACTGTGAAAAATATGTAATTAGAAGAAGGAAATATATAAATGCTACAGGGAAAACAAGCAAATGCAAGCCAAAATAGTGTAAAAGAGATTTCCTTCTTTGTTTTCAGTATTGGCATTTTTTTATGTTGGTTTTTTGTTCCTATTCAATTCTGTCAGAGTTTGTAAATATAGTTCAGATATATTATTGTATTAGTAGGTGCAATAATTCATAGCTAATTTTGCTTTTTCCCCTCAATTTTGTGAGACATGGAAAAGTTTTCAGTTTCTTAAAAGCCAAAAGTTTTATTCCTTGTTCTCTGTAGTAAATACAGCTAACTTTCTGCCTGCAAAGTAACTCGGTCAATACAGGTGTAGAAAATTATGGTTATGTATAACTGAAGACATTTGGCTTTGCAGTGTCCTGTAAGAACTACTCTGTCTTCTGTTGTCTGCACTTCGGTAGTGTTATTTGACCAGTGTATAAGTAACCTACCCACATGAACTTTAATTCTGTTGTAAGGTCTGTATCACGACATTTCCTAAAATACAGGCAATATGGAAAAAAAACCTGAAAACCAATTGCTTTTCCTTTTTACAAAGTATTATTTTTAGACACCACTGCTGTTCTCTGAATACATTTTTCTTAAGACTTGCAATAAAAGTATTGCATTGACAGGCTTTTATGTACATACCCTTATTAAGTGTGTAAGACAATAAATACTACAGTTTGTTCTTGTTCATTTTTAATCCTATTTTAGGTCTTCATTTGTTATTTAAACCAGCTAAGATTCCTAGTATTAAGCACGACCCTTATAGATCATGTAGCGTAGCTGTACATATTGATACTCCCAAAAATCATTTCAATTCTGCAGAAGTGTTAGTAAATAGTTAATTATTTTTTTCAGCTTCCAATTTTAATAAAAGGGATATACAGTTTAAATTATGCAAGCCTTTAGTTTTTAGTGTGTTTTATAGCTGAATATTTCAATACTGACTTAGCTTACATATAAAACATTTTTGCTATGAAATCAGTCACTCTGGGTAGACTTATGTGCCTCCTTCCTTACCAGTAACCTCTGCATTCCCTTCCTATGTCTCTATGAAGACTTTATTTTGAAATTGATTTACCCCTGTTGCTTACATTGTACATCTCTAAATATTAATTGCCAGTGCTGGTATAATTGTGCAATATGCAAATACATTAATATTGCAGCATGACAGAAAGACTGAGTTTTCATTTTGTTGCTTGATACATAAGGTCAAAGAGAACAAAGTGGAAAATTCAACAGGGATGTTTTTTCTTTAAAATAATGCAAAAAGTCTTTTTGACAAAGAACAAATCACTTACAAAGTGTTCTTTGAAACATGTGCTACCTGAAGCATGGTATCAATCCTTTATTTCTTTATTATATTTCAGAATTCAGTTGTGTAGTAATTTTACTTTGCTGAATTAGTATTAGATTTGATTTTCTCACTTTTAAAATTTTGACCATATGGAAGAGCAGTTAAGAATTGTAATTTAGAAGGAAAAAAAAAGCTTTCATTACTTAGCCCTAGAAAAATAACTGCATGCTGTTTGTGCAATTTTCTTTCTAACATGGAGGGAATTCAGTGTATTTGCCAGACTGAAGTTCTTAGGTATGTTGATTTACCACAAAAACCAAATAAAACCAAACTAGTATCTCGTGTGATTAATTTTTTTTTATTGGCACTTCAGCAAGAACCTAAAAACTTCACCAGTTAAAACTGACACATGAATTTTGATTTTCCTGGAATGTTTTCCACAAACCTTTATGCTCTTTTGGAGAGTTTGATGTGATGTTTTGTTTGTGTTTTACAGATTAACTTATTTTGACTTCCACACATAACCTCTGTTGTACGTCTTTCCTTGAATAAATGAGAGGTGTACACACCATGCATGAGTCCTTGCTTTGTTGTTGCTAACACTCATGTTAAATATTTTAAGTTGTCTGCATTCTGGCTTTTGAAAAGTTCAGCTTTAATGCGAGGAAAACCAGTAAGCCTGTGTTCTGTGGCAGCTGTTGCCTGTGTTTGTTAGTGTTTTTGTTCATTATTCTGCTAAGCCTTTGCTTTATGAAAGCATTTAAAACTCGTGCTTGACTTTGACTATTAGTAGTCTTGCTTCAGGAGGAAGAAAAACTGGTTAGTATCTAATGTGATCTGTATGGATAAACCTTTCCATGTTATTGGAAGGCATTGGAAACTACATCAGCCAGTTGTCTTTAAAGATGTAGGTAACACTGCAAGATTAGAGCCTCACTGTCTTATGAATAGTTCATCAAACAGATCTTCAAAACCCTCATTTAGTAGTTTTGCAATATTTAAAAAGTGAGTGAAGAAACAAAGCAAACATAGTACCTAACGTACAGGCACACGGGGATAAAGGACATCACATTCCTGCTGTAGTCACTATGATGACAGGAAGCTTAAGGCTAATCTTGAATTTCATTACACACACTTGAAAATATTTTTGTTAAATGTTATGTTTGAGAAATGTGGGTAAATTATTGATCCTTATCTCAGCACCAGTAGATATTACAGCTCATGCAGTGATAATTTGACTATCAGCTCCTGTGCAGGGGATTTTTTTTTCCTTTTCTGTTGCTTTCAGTACAGTAGTCTAGGGTTATTGTTACCATCACTCAGAGCATTGTATAGCCAAAAGCATAACCAAAGTTAACAGCAGCAAACCATCGTGTTTCCCTTCATTTTGAAATGCCTAACACTAAAGATTCTAAAAGTGCTTTTTGAAATTTATTCTGAAGACTTACCTAGATGAGCTTTGCTGTAGCTTTCCTAAGTTAAATGCTGTCTACATGACAAACTTATTAATGTTCCACATTTTTTTCCTAAACTGTCTGAATGTTTTGAAGCTTTTGTAAGAAGCTGCATAAAATTGAAACTGAGAATTAGTTAATTAAAAATCAAAGCTAAGTCAGTGTATTCATTTGATATGCTTTATAAATGAAGATTTTATTTTGAGTTGAAATGAAATCAATTAATATTGGGGGTTTAATATGTAACTTAGAACCGAATATAAATATATTCTAAGTTATGTAATTATCTTAAAGGGTATCCCTCAGATCAGTTTTGGGGCATTGTTCAAAATCCCTTAACTGTGCATTGCTCGTTGTTATACTTGTGTTTTAGAGCTGTTAGTTTTCAGCTATTCTGATTGGTTTATCCTTGCATGTTCACTGTCCTGGTTGCAGCATGAAGCGTGCCAGTTCTCTGAATGTTCTTAACATGGGTGGCAAGGCTACTGAAGATCATTTTCAAGTAAGAAGCCCTACAATATTCTTACAAAAATAGGTGTCACTAGTAGGGTTTGGGATAAAAAGAGTATGAAAAATAATAAAACAACCAAGTCCCAGTGACTGGTAAGATCCTACCAAGATAGCTAAGATACCCAAGATGTTTAAAGTGTATGTTTAAGGCATCATTCTGTAACACTTCTGTGAATTATCCTTAATTTTAAGCAAGTGCTTAAGTCTGACCACTGGCTTTTATGATATCAAGCAGTCTCTGGCTTTGGACTTCCTAAATACTACAGTGGATAGGCAACTTCTGGAATCTTACATTCTTGTAAATGCTACGTAAAAATACAAGAACTTCTAAAGCCCAGTTTAGTGTTTTTTTAACTTCAGCCCCTTTATTACAAAGGGTCCAGTCGCCTCAGTTTCTGTACATTTTCAGATCCCCTTACATTCAACTTAAGTTGTTCCTGAGGTTGTACAGCAGCAGTTTGTCTGATCTGTTAAGCTTCTGCTAACATAAACCCTTAATGGTGTGTGGTGTGTGCCCCATGGCTGCTTCCCATTTCCTGTTTTCTCCTAATAAGGCACTGCATCCTAGATTGTCAAGCTAGCAGCGTTCTGCCTTCTCTACATTGCTGTGCATTTTACTAACACAGTTATTGCAACTAATTGTTAGGAAGATCAAATAGTTTCTGTACTAACAAACCTGTACACAAGGATCTTCACTGTTTGTCCTAATGCAGCAAAAAGCCCAAACTGTGTGGCTCTCATTTGACTGTTAAGTGGTGAAAAGGTGTCTTAACTATATTATCTCTAACAAATATACTGTAGATTTTCCTGTGGTGTGAAATGTAGGCAGAACTTCACTTAGGGTGAACTTCAGCCAAAAAAAAAATAAAATCCAGGGTAAAACATAATGCTTTGCAGCAACAGTGGCAGGGTGTCAAAATGCCATGCCCTAGGTGCCCCTGAACTGGAGCCTTAGTATAGAATTGATGTGACTTCAGAAGATACATGTATTGCTTATATGTCCGTTGTGATACTAAAAGTAGTTCCCACTCCTGGTGAACTTCTGTAGCTCACCCACTAGGGGCAATTCCCATAGGTGGGCTCTTGCATTGCTGGTAAGATGGGTCAGGACTGTAAAGGGTGTAAATACACGTCAGCAGATCTTTCCAGTATTGCTAGTTAAAAGTTGGGGAAAAGGATGTTTATTAAATGTGGAAAACTGCCTCCTACCCAACAAGACCAGCTTTCCAGAGATCCATGTATTAGTTTTTCCTGTTTGTTAGAACTAGTGATTTTGTTTATTTGCTTGAACTGTTGGACATGTGCTTAATTTGTTTGTGTTTTTCCCTTCCACACAGGAACGAAATAATTGTCTGACAGACTCAAGAGCTCTGAGTGTCAGTCATACTGATCTGGCGCATTGAGATTCTTGGACAGAAGCTAGCTAATATTCCTTTGTGAACAAAGAAGCACTGAGACCTTCAAAGCTTTGGTTCCTCATCCTTACGCATAGGAACACCTAGTTTGTAGATCTTGTTGGGTTGTTTTTCCAATGGACTGCTGTTTTTTCTTTTCTAAATTTAAACACAGCATTAGAGGGTATTTTCTTCTAAAGGAAAACTATATAGATATATGTTGCTCATTGCACTGCTCCCATTCATGCTACTTACATTGATTTCATTCATAGATCTGAGTATTACAGCAGCCAAAAAATAAGTAAAAATACAAACATATTTAAAGCATACCAAAAGGCAAAAATATTTGAAAATGCAGGCAAAATTAAACGTGTAGCAGTAAATATATACAGTGCTGGAATGAGAAAAGGATAAATTTATGTGCATTACTGTATAAATTCAAATGGAGCATACTGTATTGGTGGGGCTTTGCACCACTGATCATTGTAGTATTAGAAACCCTAGCTGGCAAAAGAGTACTTAGACCTGGCTTTCTTAACCACTAGATTGAGCTGTTAAATTGTACAGAGAAGGTAGTTGGGGTGACGTTACGTAGAGATGGCATGAATAGCAATACCTGTGGCCATAGCTTTGATACTTGTTGATACAAGTTTATTAGGGCACAATAATCAATGGAGATAGGATGGCTCATTTTGATCAGGAGAAAAGAGGAAATGTTTTGACCTTAACCTTGCATGGTTGAAGAATACCGAAGGTTCAGACTGCTGTCGTGCCAGAGCAGCTGCTCTGAGGGAGATGTCACACCTCAGGTTGACTTTCTTGCATGTTCACTGGAATTCACAATCCCATTCTCTGTCAGCTCGAAGGGCTCCAACATTTCCTTCTGCTGATCCCAAATCTGGCCTTTCTCCGTCACAGCTGATGACAGCAGAAGCAGGTAGTGACACACTAGGCTGTTCCACTGTGGAGCAGCTGCTGTGCAAAGGACCACGTGAATCCTAAGGGCCCCAGTGGAAGCACTAGATGGCCACAAGTGGCAACCTACTTGTTAGACCACACGTCCATGTTAAATCTACTTATGGTTAAATATATGCTGTCTGTATGCAGGACTGCTGCTGGAACTATGTATGTATGTATGTATTTTATAGACACCAGTATTTCCTCTTGCTTTTCTGTAAAGCTTGTCATTTTGATTTTTTTTGGTAAAAATTCTTACTCCTGTGAAGTTGGATGAGAAAGTAAAAAAAAAACAACCAGTGTGTGTAGAAATGTATTTGTGGTCGTAGTTGGACAATGCTGAACGAAATGAACCTTGGGAAAAGCTGGAATATTGATTCAGGGTTAGCACCAATTGAAGGAGGGAAAACAGGAATATAAGCAAGTTCTGTTTGAACAGAAGCAAGTTCTATTGCAACAGGCTCTGAAGAGCTGTCAGAATTAGTACTTCACAGAAGTGTTTGACTGGTTTTGCATCTGGTTTTCAGTGGGTCACAGTAACTGATGCAAGAAGCTGTCTGTGTAATGCACTTACCTATGTTTACCAGGAGGTACCTTTTTAGCATCTCCCTAAAGAAAGCTGCGTGGTCCTACCTGCTAGAAAGACAGAAAGGGTGAGATATGATGCTGCTAATATGTAGGAATTTTAGCACAGAGTAGTGCAATTCATTAATGAACTCGAGCAAGAACAGTGTTGCTCAGTCATCTTAACAATATATACGCATAATGTAGACTCCTGAGTTTTAATCTTTTTATTAAGAGCTTTTTTATATTAAAAAATACATAATATATACTTTTTTCCCCCTAAAGCAGAACATGCTCTATGCACCCACTGGTGAATTCAGTTCTCTGCACATAAGCCAGACTGTGCTGGCTTTGCCCAAGAGCTGTGTGTGCAGCAGGTTGCCCAGCTGAAGGTGCCTGTGTCCAGCCAGGGGGCGGCAGAACCCTGTTGCACAGCCTGCCGTGGTGTCCCCTGTCCCCCTGGCACTGCTCCCTGCAGGCAGCCCTGCTCCCAGCCTGGGTCACACCAGCTGCTGCTAGCACAGAGCTCAGCAGGCCTGGTCTGTACAGCTCAGCCTTCCACTCTGAGACTGTTACAAAAGTCTGACTTCCAAAAAAACTTCCCACAAAACTGTTTGGACACAGAACTGACTTTGGTAATAAAGAATTCCTTAAACTGAAGAATGTGTTTTCTACATTCATCTTTCGACTTTGAAGGAAAATTATTTTTGCAGCTTCTGCAACTCGTGTAAATAGCAATAAAATATTTAACCACGTGAAACTGTAAAGTACATTGTTTTTTAAAATGCAAGACTGTGGTGTGTTGATGGTGATAGTGAGGGCACTGTCTTGTTCAGGATCCTGCTGTTGGTGGCATTACTAGTACTGTGCTTTTAAATGTTTTAAATGTTAATGTGTGGGGGAAGATTAAGTCGTTGAGCTGCTGCTTATTAAGCAGTTCTTACACTTAAAAGGTTAATTATTTTTTTTTCAGATAAGAAACAAATGTTAAGACTTACCTAATCCATAAATCCCCGAGAATGTTAGTCAAGCCCTTGCAGTCATAAGCCATGACCTGGCTGCAGTTTGAGAAGACATTGTAAAGTACAAAATCAAAGTTAAGGTCAACTTTCTTTGTATTTGACTCATGAATGAATTACTGTCGGGACATGGTTTGTATACATTTAAATTTAAGGTGGGCTTCTCAGTTTGCTTTCATGTAAGACTTCTGAATTTTGTCTGTTGTAGCTCGGAGTCTAATGAATTACAAAACCAGAATACCCAGTTGTGTAATTAGTGGATGTCTTCAGTACCAAGCTGAATCAACAGCTCTGATGAAACAAAACTATGAAAGACCTTCAAAATCAATAGGCACCTTGGCAGTGCTACTGTGTGTTGGGTCTAGGTGCAGGGTGACCTTCATCATGAGGGCTCCAGGCTAGGCCAAGTGTCTCTAGATTCTCCCACCACTAGTGGCTACTCCTGGGGCAGCAGTGAGGGCTGCTGATGGAAAGGTGCCCAGTGCCCTTCTGTCTGCCAGGTTGTGTGCTAGTCTGTGGGAATATTGGCAATATCTGGTCTTGAGTTTAGGTGTTATTAAATATTACTGCAAAATGTAACAGTTTCATGATGTGCTCCTTGTTCAGAGGAATAATTGAACTATTGCTGTGATGTTTGGTGCTGGCAGTACCACAGTGATAGAACATAGCACTTAAACAGTGGAAAAAGTTGGACAGGTTATCTGGAGTTTGTACCTTTTCTTAAACACCACCCCCACCCCCTAAGCCCTCCTGAATGGGAGTAAATTAAAATGGTTTTAAGCTTGAGAAGTATTTGTGCTTAAATCGTATCATTTGAATCCAGTAATTTTGAAAACTGTGTGGTTCTGTTGTAAATATGTAGTAAAGGGGTGTGCAGTGCTTTGCTGAAGGTGTGTTTACAGTACCTGATGAGTTCACATTAGTTGTTGTTATACAAGTCATGCATTTTTGTCTGAAAGCTGCTAAGAGAATTTAATTTTGGTAATGTTGGCCTGTACTGAGAGAATAAATGTTAAAAGACACGATGTTGTGAAGTTTAGTTTCATTGTAGGAAGTTTACCCTGTCACAGACTAACAAAAATATTGGTATAAACATCAGCTTTTTTAAAAAATGGTTCAGAACTGAGGGAGATATTGAACATCTACATTTGATTGGTTTTCCCCCTAAAATACTCACAGTAGTCTCAGTACACACTGATGTCAAGATGTTTTGTGTTTTTGTTTTTTTTTTAAAAAAAAAACAACCCTGAAACAACAAAGTGAGAAGCAGAAGACAGTGGCAATGTCTGACAGAGGTGAAGAGACCTGAGCTGTGGAGATGGTTGTGCTCATGGTGATATTGCAAAACTGTCACTAGTTATGGCTGCTTGTAAATAAGAAATACTGAGAGAACCCTAGTTGGAAGTTCATTTAACGCTCCAGATACATCTAAAAAGCTTGAAGCTGCTCTAACTCTTGTGCTGGCACACACAAGTGAGAGGCTAAAAATTGTATCCAGCATAAAACAAGCTCAGTGAAGCAGTTTTTAAAACCAGATCAATCCTTAGGCTCCCTATATTTATACTCAAGCCCCAGTTCAAGCATGGAAAGTTTATGGAGTCTTTGGCGTATGTAGTAGAAGTGTAGTACACAGCAGTGGGGGCTGGTGACAGTACAGCCAGATGAGGTCTATGCAATCAGGAATATTTTCTGTTCTCTAGGACCTATCTTAAAAAAACACAAACACAAAAAACCAACACAAAATCCAACAACACAAAACCAGAAAACCATTGGTCATGTCAGTGTAGCCTTGAGGAGGACCTCCTGCCCTGATATATGGGTTCCATATTTGATTTAAAATAAATTAATCTTCCAAGATTGACTTTAATCCCCATGTGTAGTTACTGCTTGTAACAGCTATGGATGAAATCCCATTCTGAGTTCACCTGTTTGTGTTATCCCATAAAACTTTGTTGAAAATAAAATTCCACAGATGTGATTTTTCAATGACTAGTGGTAATTCATTGTGATTTCATCAAGAAATTTGCAATGAGATTGTTTGAAATGTTCTGCTACATCTGTTTCATTAATAAGTCATTTGTGTAAGTTCTTTACCAAGTACAAGTGCATTTGGTTCTACCTTTCCAAAGCAATGTTTGCAGAACCCTCTATGATCTTTCTGTTGAAAAGGGCCTCTTAAATACATGACAGAGCTGCAGATGAATTTGAAACTGCTTAAAAGTTTATCAATTGTCATTTAATGTTTTCCAAAGTGTAGAATAAATGTCTTAAAGGATAAAGACAATAATAGTCTAGAATGTAATGCTTTTATAAAAATTACTTACATTTTTTTCCTGTATAGCAACAAATCTCAGTTGTGAAATCCAAAGATGAATAAAGCTGTATAAAGGGAAGGTTCCTAGATGGCATTTATTAAAACTTAAGCATATTTCAACAGTTCAGACACAAGGCTCCAAAGAGGGCAGATGCCTTGTTCAGCCTCAAGAGGGTTTGTGCCCCCAAAGCTGTACTAACTTCAGCTGAACGTTCAGCTGGTGGGTGGGATGGACTGTCAGCTTGGGGGCAGTGAGGTTCGGGGTTTGTGTGTGATGCTGAGCTAGGAACCACAGCACCATTAAACTTCCCCCTGGAGAGTTAAGTAAGAACCAGAATGGGAAATGACAGGAGGACTTGCTCAGATGTTACTTAAATTTGTTGGTCAGGGGTTTTTTTCATCAGGTAAACTGGAACTTTGATTACAGACCCATATGACTTTAACACATCTTGTGCCTGCAAGCAGTCGGGTTGCAAAAAAG